GCCCCCCCCCCCCGCGGGCAGCCCGGCTCGGGGCCCCCTGCCCCCCCCGGGGCGGCGGGGGGGGGGACCGGTCCCTCTCCACGCCGGCGGTAATTACCTTTCCCTGAGCGGAGTCAGGCTTAGGCGCCCGGGCATCTCTGGTATGTTTATTAGTTTTAAACCAGCGCAAAACCACTTACACACCGTTTCAAGCTGTGAGGCCCATTGGGCGCCGATGACCTTTCCTGGAGGAAAATGCACAGCATTAAATATTCAGACGCAGCCCGGTGTCATCTGCATTAGGTTTCTACAATTTCAGGAACAAAAGGGTAGGAGAGATTACTAATAAAAGGAGTAAGAGGAAATATATTTCTATTAACAGTTACACCCTGGGGTCACCCAGATGTATTCTGTTTGGGGAAGACTGATCAAACAACAGGAAAGCGGGATTTCTGTCCGTTTGCAAGCCGCTAGGATTTCCCCGCTGCCCGAAACGTTGACACTGACTTTACCGCGAGTAAAGGCAGGCGCTTTCTTCCCCCGTTCCGCCGCCACGGCACCGCGGGGATGCGCGTTCCCCGGTGCTGCTGCTAGCTGAAACCTTCCTCCTTGCCTTCTTCCTCGGCCTGAATTCTCGAGGCAGGTCGCCCCCTGAGACCTGAGCTGTCCTCGCCCGTCTCCCCCCCTCCCTGGTCCAGCCACCCGCCGGGGCTTGCCGCAGGCAAGCAGCCGGGGCCGGGGCCCTGGGATCCCGCGTCGGGCAGGTCCGCGGGGGGCGAGGTGGCCGTGTGACACCGCGGGTGCTCCCCTGTGCCCGCAGGTACGGCACGATGGACGGCGGGACGCGGAGGAAAAACGCCACCCGGGAGACGACCAGCACGCTGAAGGCCTGGCTGCAGGAGCACCGCAAGAACCCCTACCCCACCAAGGGCGAGAAGATCATGCTGGCCATCATCACCAAGATGACCCTCACCCAGGTCTCCACCTGGTTCGCCAACGCCCGCCGGCGGCTCAAGAAGGAGAACAAGATGACCTGGGCCCCCCGCAACAAGAGCGAGGACGAGGACGACGACGAAGGCGACGGGGCGAGGAGTAAAGAGGAGAGTCCCGAGAAGATGCCCGAGAGCAACGAAACCTCCGCGGAGGACGAAGGTGGGCGCGGGGTGACCGCGGCCGCGGCGGGGTGGCCCCATCCCGCCCCGTCGCGTCCCCCCGGGAGCGGGGCAGCGGGGAAGGGGGGGGGGGGGGGGGGGAAAAACAGGGGC